TCAGATTATGATAAACCTTTCTATATTGAGATGAATGCATCTGAATAAGCTATCAGAGATACTCTTCTACAGATGAGTAATAACAACAAGCTGCACTCAGTAATATATAATGATAGAAAACTATCAGATGCTGAGCTCAATTACTCAGTATATAAAAAGAAATTGCTAACAATCAAGCACACACTGATGTTATAAAATAGATATATTAATAATCAGTATATGACAACAGTGATTACAGATTATAAAAGCCTCATCTATCTACAATTGATAATAAAATCTTTCAAACACTTAGTATGTTAAATCTCAGAGTTTTAAGTGTATAATCTTCATATTAAATACTAAAAGAAATTGAACACTGTGATACCTGATGCAATCAGTCACAGACTTGATTTCATGAGTGAGAATTCTGTGAATCAGATATAAGAAAAGTTCATGTTAAATATACAGAGAGAAAATAAGAAATCAGAATAAGTGAATACAATGATCTCTTACTTGAAAAATGACAAGATATCAGATAATAAGTATCTTATAAAAGTAGTAGAAGAGATACTTCTGAACTTCAAGCTGAGAAATTTGAAAAACAATGTTATGTTTTACTGTAATCTAGAATATGTTAAAGCTCTCTATCAGAAATATTCATTTAGATGTGACTTGATGACTTGCATGCATAAGAAATTCAGTCACTTAGAAAGTTCTGAACTTATGAGTGTACTTAAATCAAGAGTATACTGGCCAAGCATGACTAGACTGGCCGCCGGGACCATGAATTTCACATTTGATCTCATTTGATCTGGTCTCATACATTTCTTGGCGTGAATCCCGCTGGGACTAGTTATTAAAAAAACATGCAAAGTGACTATATATCAGATATTAAAATGAAATCATGACTTGAAAAAAATGAGAAAGTAGTTTCATTTGATTTTATTTAGTTCCATTCTTGGTATAAAGTAACTATTTTTAGACATTTTAAGATTTTTTTTAGACTATTTTTAATTTTTTAAAAAGTAACACTTTTTGATAACACTTAAATGAGATTTAAAGTCATTTAAAGCAATAAAAATAATTTAAATTAAGAAGTGAAAATCATGATCTCATTTGAAAAATGTGACAAGAGTAGACAGTAAGTCTTACTGAAACTGTATGAGACTACTATCTAATGTTAAAACCGTGTAATGGGATCAGTCGAATTGATAATGAGACTATTAAAAAATCTGATCCTGGTCCCAGACACAGTCACACGGTCAGTCTAAGCATGACTGAGAACATTCAGATGTACACTCATAAGTGCCTAAATTATCAGATTGTAAAAGAATCTAAGAAAGAGTTGAAATATGAGAAAGTACAATATCAGATGAAATGTATGATACAACTGTTCAAATAATAAGAGATGAATCTTATAGACATACTGCTATAAACATCAAATGAAAATCATTGAATAATCACTGCTATTGACTATACTACTGACTGACCAGTCATGAAAGCAGTTTCAGAGATGATAGAGAAGATGATGATGAAGTTTCTACATAATGAGATCTATATTAACTATGAAATGTCATGTGAGATTCTAACTGATAACAGTGCAAATCTTGTAGAAGAAGTGACAAGGTATTTTATAAGTCAGTTATAGACAAGACATTGTAGAACAACATTATATCATTTATAAATAAATGAGAAGATAAAACACTTGAATGACATTCTGAGTAACATACTAATGAAATATCTAGTGAGTAAGTCTATATAACTATAAGATGAATATCTCAGCCAGGTGCTATTAGTCACATGAATTCAACAGCATGCAGACTTCAAGTATTTATCATTCTATCTATTGCATGAATTGCATCTGCGCATTTCAGAGAATGCTTTAGAACAGATGAGAGAGAGAACAGCAGTTACAGACACAGCAGTTACAGTTGTAAACACAGCAGTCACAGACATGAAATCAAGATTGAAAGAGATCAGTCACATACATACAAAAGTTAATAAGTTACTTCTGAATCAAGCAATTCAATTGAAAAGAATACATGACTCACTAGTTAAGAAATCAAGTCTTAAGATAGAAATATAAGTTCTTGTACATAATAAGAGTTCTGAGAAGTTTTAACCTAGATAATTTGAGCTCTATAAAATACTCAAATCACATTCTCTGAAAACATATACATTGAAGAAACCAGAGAAACAGATCTTACACAACTTAATAAATGATTCATGTCTTGTGAAGATAAAGATGTGCCAGCGTGGCCCAGTTGATAAGCCTGGTAATCAAGGCCGCACACATTAAGAGTGTGTGAGTTCGAATCCCATCACTGACACCTGTCACTTCTTACTCATGAAAGCCCTCATGTAATAGAAGCTGAGCCTAATTAATAAGGCTTGATGTGGAGTAGAACTCTCTACTGTAAGTCAAGTCACTAGTTAAGTGAGATTCTGTGAACACTTATCAGAGCTGATATAAAGTGTCAATGTCTCACTATTCTACTATGCATTCATCAAGGTTCTAACAATATAGAGCCAAGTCTAATGTAGTGATTATACACTACTTAAGTGAGTCTCTAACTAGAGCTGTCATCAGAGCCTAGCTTTCTCTCAAATACAGAGAATGATTTTGAAAACTATCTGACTAGCAGGCTTAGACACATATCTAGGTTCTAGACAGAGCACTCTGATAGGCTAGAGCCTGCAAGCTCACTGTCAAGCCCTAATACTGACAGAGAGAACTGTAGTCATCAAGTCTATGATTAGTTCCTAACATGAGATGAGGTCATAACAGCTGATTGATAGGCCTATGAGCATCTAATGAGGCTGAGATCAGCAATCGGAAGCTTGATGTGTACATCATCAAGTGAGCAGTGGCAGCCACTAACTAAGATCTCTGAAAATTAGTGACTGGCCCGAGAGAACAGACGCGGTGATCAGTTAATTATAGAGGGTTAAATGTAATTAGCTTAAGATGCATTCTGCGGGTGGCTAGCGCCCGTAGTCTAACCTAGTTACTGAACTAGTGTGAAAAAAATCAGGTGTTTTATACACAAAAGTCTGTTATTCTTCTTTTGAAATAGTCTGACTATCTTTTCAATTGAAAACAGACTTAGAAACCTCTTAATTAAAACAGTCTGACTAACTTTTCAATTCAAAAGAGTTTAATAAATATCTCAATTGAATTAGTCTGATCAACTTTTCATTGAGTAAGAACAATGAGTTCAAAAGTACACTTAGTTAATGTGGAAAAGAATGCTTTCTCAAATACTATTTCTGAGATTGAAATTCTGAAGAGAAGAAAGAAAGAAGAAATAGAGAAACAACAAGTTCTTGAAATACAGAAACTTGAAAAAGTAAGTAAAATTCTTGAAAAGCAGTGTCTGAGTGAGATGAATGAAGAAGTTCTGTTAATTCTTCATGCTCAGACTAGACAACTACAGGAAGTGATCAAGTTCAAACTTGGAATTTCAAACACAGTTCAAAAAACTTTGAAAATTTCTAATATAATCACTGACTCTTCAGTTTACTCTTCTTTCTTTTCTACTTCTTCTTCTTCTTCTTCTTTAAATCAGAAGAAAATATATGCTCAAGCAGCTGAATCTGCTGTCTCTAAACCTGCTATCTCTAAATCTGCTATCTCAAAACCTGCTCAAAATTCTGAGAAAACTGAGAAGAATACTGCTCATACTTCTATTCATAGAAGAGTGAAGAAAAGAATGCAAAAAGAGAAAAATCTTCAAATCTTCAAATATAGAAGACTTATTCTCAAAGTCTCAAATCAGAACATATTGCAGAGAAATAAGCTAAACTCAAACCTCATTTTCAGAATTAGAAATGAAATCAATCAGCAGTTCTTTTCTCAGTTAATGACTGATATTAAAGTTCAAAAATCAGTTATAGCTTCAATTGAGTTATTCTTCTTTGAAAACTTCATCATTCTGATCATAATGTCTGAATTCAGTGCAGAATTCCTTATTCAGAATAAGAATCTCTGAAAGTCAGCAGTAGAATCTCTGTTAAACACAACAATTCTATCTGAGAGAGATAAAAAGTGAGATAAATTTATTCTTCATGATATTTGAGTTGAAATCTTTGACTGTGAGAAAGAAATGCTACTTCTCAAAAATGAATTGAAAGAATACAATTCTATTCAACTGAGAAAAGAGCCTGTATCACTTAATTCAATTGAGTTCAGACAGAGTAGAAGAAATGTCTCTGTTCTAGTGTATATAAAGACACTTGAATAATCAAGAATCTCTGAAGTAAGAGTAGCAGATTTGAAAATGAGAGTTCATGAATACAAAGACTCAAGAATGAATCTCAAAGCTCAAACACAGTGTTCAAACTGTGAAAGATATGAACACTTTACAATCTCTTATTTCAGAGACTCAAAATGTGCATTCTGTGCTAGAGATTATAAAACTAGTGAGCATAATTGTGAAACATGCTTAAAAAGAGATGAAATATGTCAACATACTCTGCTTAAGTGCTTCAATTGTAAAGAAAAACATGCATCTAGCTCAAAAGAATGTGTATTTGCTCCAAGAACTCAGAAGAACTGGAGAAAAGATAAAGCTCAAAGTGAATCTAAAACTGAAGAGAAAAGTCAAGCTAGTAAATCTACAACTGCAAGCTCAAAAAGAAGAAATTCTTAACTATTTAGATTTTCAAACTTCAACTCTTCAGCTAAGTGTAAACAGAATTTGAATTCTTAAACTTCTGTTAAGATTAGAGAATTGAGAAATGACTCTGATGATAAACTAGATATAATGCAAGCAGTTAAGATTTCTACTTTTCAAAATAGTTATAATCTACTATCTGATAATAGAAATTAGATTCTACTCTATCTCTACTCTCTCTTAGTATGGATATACAACAAAAACAACAAAAAAAGTTTAAAAACTCTTCAAAAATCACATTTATTCAAAATAATGTGAATAGAAACTCAAATTGTATTTATTCTTGTCTTCAGATTGCATTTGAATAAAAAGTTGACTTTGTACTTCTTCAAGAACCAAACTTTGATACTGAGTAAAAGTACATTATTTCTCATTCAAGCTATTACTGCTTTCTTTCTGAAAAATCTGAGATAAAATCAAGAGTAGTGATCTATGAAAGAAAAAGATCAAGATATCAATTTAATTTGAGATTTGATATCATATCTGCCTCTGATATTCTAGTGGGTGATATTATAGATAAAGAGAATGAGTTTGATACTATTCAACTTATAAATATCTATAATGAAAAGTCATTGAAAGAAAACAACAATACCTGGAAAATTGATAGAGGATTTTTGAATGTAACTCTCTTAAAAAACTCTATAATTGCAGGAGACTTCAATGCACATCATCTCTGATAAAACTCAGAGTGCACAAGAGTAGTAAGAGCAGATAAACTGGTTGAATAAACTTTTAAGCATTCAATAGATTTAGTTAACAAGTCTGATCAATAAACATTCTTTAGAAAAGGCATGAAACAGAAATCTATTATAGGTCTAACTTTCATGTCATAAAATCTAATTGAAAAAAGACTTATAAACTGATTTATTGATTCAAATGAAACCTCAGAATCAGGTCATGAGATCATTCAATTTGATATTGAACTGAGTGAAAAACAAAGAAGTGAAAATCCTCTTCTCTCTAATCAGTATAACTTTGAAAAAGCTGATTGAAAAGCAGTTGAAGAAAGAGTAAAATAGCTGAAATCTGAAAGACAGAGTGAGCTTTATTGAAATCAAAGTCAAGATATCTTAAATGAAATGCTTGAGAATAGAGCAAAGCTGATTACATCTATTCTTCTAACAAGTATTGAAGAAAATATTTCAAAGAAAAAGTCTTCTGAGTTTTTCAAATCTTGATGGAATAAGAATATCACTTCTAAAAGAAAGCAATTAGTCACTGCTAAGAGAGAGTGAAAGAATAACTTAATATCTGATGAAGAGTTCAAAGCTATTCAAAATGAATATTTTTCAGATATTAAAAAAGCCAAAACAGATTGCTGAAACAAATTTCTTGAAGAATCATAAGAAAAAGAAGTTTTTAAAGCCTTCAACTATACTAAAACAAGAAGTGTAGCAAAGCTTTCCATCTTAGAATATGAATTTCAGAATGAATTGTATACAGCAAACTCTTTTGAGAAAAAATGTCAAGCTTTTATAAGAATTCTCTTTCAAAACTCATCACATTTAGAAGAGAAGAATATGTCATTTCATGAATATATTGATGAAAATAACTGGGAATGGCCTGAGCTTACAGGTGATGAACTAGAGTCAGCAATATTCTCAAGTTCAACTAAAACTGCTGCAGGGCCTGATTCAATTAATCATTTAATTATTCAAAACACATATTTCTACTTGAAGAATGAATATTTTGAGCTTCTTTTCAATCTCTTAAGAAATGGTTATCATTCTGAATGCTGGAGAGAAGCTACTGAAGTAATCCTTGTAAAATCTAATAGAAAAGCTTCAGTTTCTAAGTTATATAGAGTAATATCTCTGTTGAACTGTTTGAGAAAAGTTCTAGAAAAGATAATAGCTACTAGATTATCTTTTATAAGCTCTATTAGTGATTCTCTTCTATTTAATGAACAAATGAGAGATAGAAAACAATGTTC